AATCTTGTCAAAAAAAAAATTAGATTGATTAAAAAATACTCATGCGAGATGCATGTAGACTTTTCAAGAAAATCCCACATATTTTCAAGAAAATAATGTTTGCTAGAACATACGCAGTGATGGCACATATTTTAGACTGTGAGCTGGGCTATCCGGATACTTTAGTCTCAGTGGGTTGTGCTTCTGATCTGCAGTATTCCCATTCGAGCTATGCTGGTAGCTTCTCAGCACTTCCTTCTGTGAGTGATGTATATAATCCCGTGCTACTTCGCCTTGTTACGACCTCAGCGAAACCTTTAGGTACCACGCATATGATTTAATACAAAGAAGTATATATGACAGCAATAACAACAACGAATACATGTGCATTTCCACCCCCTATAGTGATTTAATGTTATTCCTTAAGGCAAAGAGACAGACAATATTTTCTACATAAAATGCATAAATTCTGGCCTAGTATTTTTCAAGAATAGCCAGTTCCATAAGGATACTCACCATATTTGCACTGATTTCCTTGTTAAATCAGTTTTGTTGCATAATTCAATGATATAAAATCATGCATTTGGGTTTGAGAAACCCAATAAAAGTCGTACTTATGACCTTCATTGGTCTGGATATCTGAATGGCCTTAGAGTTAAAGATGTATGTATAGTCTCGGTACCCAGGTTTACCACATTTATTGGTGCTTCGCATTCATTTAACCTAAATGGAAGAAAATTCTCCTTTCTACCATCATAGAACACTATAAAAGTGAATATATTCTCCCATACCACTGTGCCTTGTTAAGACTTTATCAAAACGCCCAAGTACTAAATAAATTACTCATTTAAAGAATTGGATTATGCAAAAAAACATGGACCACATATCATAAAATTGCAAATTAAACTGTCAAATTATTTTAAACTTGAACCACATTATTTTTAGTATAATTTGCCAGAAAAACTAATTAGAATACCAATGAGTTATAAACAGGGAGAGAGGCACAATTACAATACTTCCGGTAGATATTTCATTTCCAACAACTAGTGAATCTTTCCTTTAACCAAGTGTAGAAACTTTTTAAATATTACGATAACCTCTAATTTACTAAGAGGCATTATTTACGACCAATCATATTTTAGATGCATCAGAATTTATTGCAGGTCTTCTAGTCTTCTCTAAAATTTGTAAGGAGGCGTGGGATATGGCAGAAAATGTATCACCGACGCACGGATGGGATGAAAAGCCACTGACATCGTCCGGACACCATGCTATCCAGTAGAAGCACAATTCGCCGACAATTAAGTGTTCACGTAATCAAACGCAGAGCTAAAACGAGGTGTAAAACATTAAGCTTTGTGCATTATTAAACTAAACGTATTCGTAAGAATGAAGTTTTAGAGAAAAGACAACTACTCTTTTGTTAAAAATCCCGATGGTAAAGAGCTATTTTCAGAAAAACTAACACATTCTTGAAAGTGCCCATTAAGCCAAGCCTTCGTAGGCCTCTTTTAAAACCATAAGAAAGCATAGACTTTGCCTTTTTAGTTCTACTTAAAGGAATTTTTCTTTATCTTATGCAGTTTGATAAGCTTAAAGAATGGGGCAAAGTAAAAGTGCCCATTTATGTTCACCATTTCAATTCCACTTAATTATGTTTAAACATTAAAGTGATATTATTATATATGCTTGCGTAGAGGCACATGCAAACAATCTTAAATCTCGTAAGACTTCCATAATTTTAGACATTTTAAAATACACAAAAATTTAAATTTTTAGTTAAGTGCGTAGGACAACGACATTGTCTCAGAGTCAAAAAGCCAAAGGAAGAATATTTGTTACTATATTATGCATTTTATTAATAACAGGTGTAGTACCTCTTTTCAAGCATTGAAAGTAGTATTTGCAAAGCATGTTCACACATACCGAAAAATAAGGGTTTATTCTGTCACATATTTACTCAACACAATTAAACGAAACATACAAAAGAGTTGAATACAATTTCATAAGAAAAATGTTTTTGTTATTCTACGAAGCAACATTGAATGTTGACATTACGTCTCAGTTGGTTAACTCAAAAGCCACGAAAAATCTAGTCGTTAGCATGGTCTGAAATGCGCCCGTTCTGGTCAAGATTTGACCGTAACTGCATCAAACCCTGTACTTCACTTAACTGATCATCGTTTCTTTCAGGAAGTGCATTACATGGCACACATTCTCTCAAGACTAGCATTGAAGCAAAGGACTATATAAATGGTTTTAAAGAGTATTTGAACTAAGAGCTCATGGCTGATAAATTTGAAGCAGATTTTTAATCTATCAAGTTACGCCAAATCTAACTAGAAAATTTCTGCTTAGGGGGCCGGTGTCACTTGTTAGTCTTAGGCTTCATGCGCTTTTACAATCCGGGTGATCCCTAACTTATGGCCAGCCAATATTTTACCATACACTCAGTTTATAATCCCACGTTTACTAAGTGCGTCAGGCAGTGTTGACTGATTGGTTTGCCGGTAACCAATAAACTCCTGGCTATTCGTCCTTGTATTCTGTCTTTTGGCGCCTCAGTTCTGAGAAGAATCGCGTCAAAGCTAGAGCACGGTATAATAAAACATACCAAAACTTATTTGTTTTTAGGACTATAAAAGTGCTAGGTCTACTACTTAATGTATTTTAGTGCCGATAAGGGAGTAATTTCAACAAGACGATGGTTTGAGGTAAAATAATCTTCAATCAACGCAAACATCCCCAGTTATGCAGATATTGTTTTTATCGTCATGGTTTGTTTTATTCAAAATCACACTTTTAAGTTAAGTGAATTAAGTAATTTCGTTCTCATACCCTAAATTCCTTCCAGATGGACTCAAAATGAGTCAAAGATTTTCTTGCATTAAGTTAAAAGATTAGAGGCATTATAAGTAATTTTCCTTAATATTTATAACCAATTGTGCCTTGAACAATATTCGGAATTGTTTGATTTAAAGGGACTTACATGCCAAAAGCATAAAGCATGGAGTGTGAGAAGACAATTTAATCTTTTCTTGTAAAAGGAATGCAAACTGATAAGAAGAAAAATAACACCGAAAACGCCCCATATTATTAAGTAAATTTGCATAAATTACTTAAGCTGCTAGAAATTGCACATGCACTGAAGATGTGTATACTGCTTAACCTGTCGAATAAGAAAATAATGTGGATTTAACACTCACAAATTCGATGAGTTAAAAATGGTCACTGATCTAGCTAATCTTCTGCAAATATCGCATTCTGTGCCATTAAAACTAAAACACAATAACACAAATAGCAGCCAATCTTAGGCGCAAAAGACTGTCTACTAAAATTGTATTATAATAGGGTTTCCTTTATATTCTATGTTTGGTAGTTTTTCTATTGCCTCAACGTGAATTCATCGATGGCTAAGCTTTAGCTAGGTAGCATTTATGATAGGTAATTAAGGATGTTTGGGAAACGTCTTTTTGAATTATCGCTTCCTTCGATATTTAAATGGCATTACACGACAGACTAAAAAGGATGAAACGAACTACCCTTCTTGTAACACTTAATTATTCCACCTTGTGGTTACTTTGGTATCCGTAGATGAGTAGACTTAAAAAGCTATGAACTATTTACAATTTTGGGTGGGAAATTTGACTTATTTGTCAGACTGTAAATAAACTGCATTATTTCCTCAGCCAGCCCCTTTATAAAACAGTCTTGACTAGCACAGCCATCGCATTTGGGTCTATTAACACAATTAGCTACCCCGTTTTTGAGGATATTTCGTTGCAACGTAAGTCGAACCTACACATAAATGGTTAAAGCAATCAGTAGCGCCTAAGTCTTGTTTCCTCTTGGTCAATTAATCGGTTTTACTTCCTAACTTATTCCGAAACAAGTAGAGACAAGCGATGACCCTTTCCCAAACATTGAATTATTTCTAAAATCTTCTGCTTAATTTGTTAAAAGTTTTGGCAAAAATGTCCTTAAATAGTTGAGTAATATAACCGTCCTTGTAACATTTTAGCAGTGTTAAAATACTAATAACAAAAGCTCATTTCCATTAACGTACTCGATAAATCTTGTAACGTGTATTAATGACACTATCTGTAATCACCGCTGACGGCATCTAAGACGGCAAAAGCTACACACATATTCACCTTTTATTGTAATGTAAGCGTATTTACCTAAAAAGTACATGATCAGATGAGGTGCCTTTCTCAAAAATAGTCGGTCTAATAGAGATACCCATAATAATTGCGCATCGCATCTTGTTAAATCAGTTTCTTCGTATCATTCATGCAGGAGATCTAGAGCATTAAATGAAAAGAAATCGTCTGGACTTCCAAATGTCCCGAAAGGCAAAAGATGGGCCTGCTGTTTCGGCCTCTAGATTTGCCAAATTTATTGGTTCTCTGACTTGGGTAACCACGTTCATTTGAACTAAACAGGAATAACTTGTTCCGACCATCACAGAACACCGTAAAGTGACAGTCATCCCAAATTCATATATTTTGTTTAATAAAGCGCATGTTTTAAACCATCTCTTGCATGGTTCGAACAAATTGTAGCTTGTGCCTACTTTACTTTATACTTGCCTTGATTCTACGCAAAAGCTGCTAAATAAAAATTATGGACACAACGGGTTTGCCTTTTGGTCTCCTCTTTGGATTATTTTGTCTTTGGAGCGGGAGATGGATTTTTATTTTAATTAGGGATTATGGCCACTTTTTAGGGAAGAACTTGTTTCAAAGACATAGGCGACTTATGCTAGGATGATTTATCGTGCCTTTTATTAAACCTAATAACAGCAAAAACAAATAAATAAAATAGGCCAATTTTTCTACGTTCTACTTTTGTTTACAGTGATAAGCTACGCGCTATAATGAGGATAGCAAACAAATGGCTGCTGCGACACAGAATAGTAGTGCCTGACTAAAAACAAATCATTCTTACAAAATTTAGTAGATTTGAGCTCAGAGTTTTTTAAGTAAATTCTGTCATCCTAGGACAGCACGATTGTGCTTATGCTACAAATCGAGTTTAACAGGTTAGCGATTGTGCGTGCTGTTGGTACTGAAAGATTAGCTAAGGTACTGTAGATGGAGTAAGAGGATGGCGGTATATTAACAGAAAATGAGGGATAATCACCGCCAAGATACACCAAAAACATGGATAAATGGCGAGCGATTTGCAAGAAGCTACTTTTTTAGACCTTTAAACGATATGAACTTACTATTATTTCTAGATTGAACAGATGTGGTATTTTATCTGTTATTTATACTAGCTTACCAATACGGAAGCAGTCTAAAGGGCTGAAGAGTAATAATTCGAGTGTATAGACTAGTTTTCTTGACCGAAATGATCTATACTAAGTATGATTGATGCAAAAATCGGCAGCAGAAGGATGAGCTGAGCAAATCTAAATAGAGGTACTTTATTAAGGTTTTGTTGAAATAATGTCAAACACTTTAAGACGGTTATTTGAATCGATAAGACAATTTGATGAGATTCTCTATTTGACTTTGAATACACTGTCGCAACTTTATTATTGATCAACTATTATAATTAAGACTGAGACTTTTGAGAAAAACCTTTATCCATTAATAACCGCAAATTGTGCTTCATTAATCTATTCATCTTCTGCTCAAAAACAGGAAATTGCTTAAATAAAAATCACCTTACGTAAGAGTTCTTATTTTCTGCTGATTTTATCAAATTCAAAAAGCAAGTTATTACTTAGTGCGGAATGCTTTAAGATATTTAATCAGCATCCGTTAGGTTAATTTGCTACTTTTTCAACAAGTAAGCCCTGAGCTGATGTTCAGTGCTGTCCGCACAATTCTCACGACCATCTTAAATATTATTCTAGATGAAACAACTTGAAATTCTGGCTTTCTCATTTTTAAGCAACTTTAACAATAGGGTTTTGGATATGAATAACAATATTAAAGACAAATAATCCTAGATTCAAAGAACAGAGGCATTCATGTACAGTATATCTATTTAACAAAACAGAAATTATTTTTCGGTAAAACGAGTCTTGTCAGTATTTCAAAGAATAAATCCGTTTATCTTATCATCTGAATTTCATATTGCCATCATCCAACCGGTATGAAACTGCAAAAGTCGGCGTGCATTTTTATGCATTTTTATCCTTTAAATTAAATGGTCCTAGTCAATCTGTCATCCCAAGCCCAAAAAATCTCGTTAATTTCCCACCCTACATTTATCTTCCATGGAGGCTATAATGGGAGCAGTCGCTCTTCACCTCTACGGCAAATGAACGCGTCTGTATTTATTACTGCGATAGTTTGTATTGCCTCGTAGAGTGTTTTATGGGCCACAGAATTCTGCTAGACCCAAACGAAATCAAAGTAATGCAGTCTGTTATAAGTGCAACTGAATCTCGATACGGAAGGTAAATAACTGTCTAGAGATCGTTTATGGGCCTTTATTTAGTCGTTTAAATGATGCAGGCGACGCATGAGCTTGACGCAACGAATTATGGCTGCTTGCTGATATTAAAACCTAACCGAAGGTGCTATTTAATGGCCATCAACTATCAGAAAAAAATTTATCACGCAGCTTTGGAAAATTATTACAACATTTCGCATTGTAACTTGCTAAGAAGTTTATCCCTGCGTTGGTAAGAAAATTTATTTCATGGTCTATATGTCTAAATTTAAGCTTAAGGTTTGTGTTTTGAAGTGAAAAATTTGTTTGTACCCTTCTGAATGTAATGAATATCATGCTATCAAAATTGCATTAGGTTTCGACTCTTTTAATAGATAGCCCACTTTTATTTCGTTTACTTTGTAAATCAGAGTAATTAAAACTGTGGGAAATTCTTAAGACCACATTGATGATCCTGCAATCTCAAATGCTCTACCATTAAAGTTTCGTCTACAACAGGCCTCCCAAATAACAAAACAAGTACTAATCAAGCAAAATGTATTAACGGATTATTTACAAATTTATCTTTTTATACGGAAAAAACTTAAATTAAATCCTTTGCGTGTTTTAAGCAACGGAAAAATTGAAATTCTTCAACACTTATGCACAATACTTAAAAATTATTACACTCATGTATCCAAAACAAGGATATTCCTGTAGAATAAAGTAATATATTTTGGGATCTAAAAAAGAAATTCTACGTGACTGTAAACTAAGTTTTTCAGTTAACTAAACGGCATTTTTAATCATGTTATATGACTGCACAGGAGGGATATTACGCAACTCGAAGTCACTCAAACAGGGCTCCCTACAGATAAGTGTCTCAGGTCTTCATTGTTCTTTAACAAGTAAAGCAAAGGCCATTAAAAAATTGCGAATTTTTTACTAAGTTGTTGGATAGCAAAAAAATTAGAAATGTTGAAATGAAACAGAAGACAACTTATTACCAACTTATGGGTTAAATTTCTCAAAAAACTTATTTTACTAATTGGAGAAATCAAAAGAGAACGCAAATAAACTTAAGACCAGTGACCTATTTGAAACTTATGGTCGAAGGCAAAATTATAATGAAGAAGTGGTTACAAAACTTATTTTTAAATAAATTTTACGCTGTGTTTACAAAAGTGTGGTTGATTATAAATGGACTGAACTTAAGGTTTGACTTAATTTAAGGTTATTTTTACTGAATATTAGAATTAAAGAAATTATTTTTACATAACTTTTGTTTTAAAGTAGCAAAATACAAAGATATGTGTTAAAATTCCAAACCATGATTTCTCAGCCACATTTCGCTTGTATTTTTGCTTCTTAATTTACTAAAAACTTATTTACCTTAATGTTGGAAAAGATCAAAAGTGCAAACCCGTCTTAGTCAGTCTTTTAAGCGAAAATAACCCAGCCATCAATTTATAGCCACAGCTGAAGGCGTATCAACATCATGTAAAAATTGAGGTGCCTTTTATAGCATCAGCTACAATGTTGAAGTAATAGTCTACTAAGTGTAAACTTTTGGTTAAAAGTAGTGCCTTTCTGCATGCGGTGGGTCTCAGGCGGTCAAAACCCAGTTCAATAACTTGTTTTACCGCTTATCTGCTTCTTTGACACAAAACTTAGTGCAGCTTACGAAGTTGAAGGATATAGAAGTATGAGGGTGGTGAGATGGTTTATTTTCCTTAAACAATTGAAGCAATTCGGAAACCTGCCAGGAGTCTATTCAGGGAGTGGATGAAATAATTTTTGATGCCGATAATAAGCACCTTTTTAATCTGTTTTAAAGTTACCTTGAAATGAAACTTTTACTTATTCTATGTGCCTATATTTCGAAGACCAAGGAGAAGTGAACCAGACTTGAACAGAACATTTACCAATATATTTTAGGAAAGTAAGGGTATTTATTCGATTTAGTGTAAATTTCTGGACTGCAGTTGCATTCTGTCAGCTAATTTATATAAGTATGTACAATGGATTTGCCAAATGGCGCTACTTAAAATTCTTCAAAAACAGAGACACCAGATCTACTTTTGAAGCCCTGACGATGATAAACGAGTGATTATCAAGAGTCCACTGCTTAAAAGTTTAAATTGAAAACTTAAAACCTTCTGTGTCAAAAAACCACAAAAGTACTCTACAACTGAAATAATTTAGCATAGCTCACAGAATGTTCCATATTGCTCTTAAAATCCAAAAGAAACATTCAGCTTTAAATGCTGTTTCGGACAAATTGACATGATGACGTGTCGGCAAGATTTTATGGACCTCTAGGAATTCAAAACTCCTGTTTATGACAACGCGTATGATCTTGGAGCACTAAATCACTTGATTTTCCATTTTGCAAAACACTTTATTTCTTTCGCCATCATAAAAATAGCACACAATTTTCTAAATATATATGGCTTTAAATATATCATTAACAAACCAATAGGCCATCTAAAGGTGGGATTTTATGATTAAATAAACCATATTGGAATTTGCCATGGACGGGATTCACCCCATCAAATGCTTGGACAACGATCTACGTCTATAACCAGTGAACTTCATACAACATTTTATCTTCCAAAATATCCTGGTTCATTTCGCCTTTTCTGGTCTTTAATTAATTAATTCTAGTAAATTTTTTTAAGGAATAATTCATTTTCTTTACCTTTGTGAGGCAACTTTGGTAATTGTAGGACATATGTCAGGAATAAAGACAAGATGTTTTTCATCTTTTAGGCAAATGCAAACATTTATCTATCTTCCCTTTATGGGAAGTAGTCGGTTTAGAAATTAAAATGAAACAGGCACTTAGTGAACCCCACATCAATATAAAGTAACCCAGATTTTTGTAATTTAAAAGACGAATAATTAATTTAATTGATATTCGTTAATATATACAATACTTTGTTCTTATGTTTTAAGTAAGTAAAGGTCGAGTCACTACTTGGCTTCATGTGCAGAAACGATGTGTGACGAGCATACCATGTTTCTGTCGCAAAAACATGTTTGTTTTGACCACACCAATCAGCAAAAAGCCTCTTCTTTTGATGAATCAGGTGCTTCAAGCAATAAAATTGTTTTTGTTATTAACAACAGGTAGAGCCAAAATAACTTTTAGAAGCGAAGAACAATTGTCCAAAAGAAAGATTAAAAATCGGATTGGTGTATGTTGAAAGTAAGCTTCTTATATCTTGTGTGTCAACGAAAATTTTAAGCTGCAGCCTTCTGACCATTCGATTTAAGCAATGGTTAATTTGGCTTATGCTACGTGTTTCCAAGCGCCGTGGGTCTTACGGAATCCAAATGTCAATAGACAATTAATGAGGCATAAAACTACTTCGGCTGTTTGTATGTAAACACAAGTTAATTACATATAAGGCCAATAAATCGTGCAAATTTTCTTTGTGCTAGCTGTTTGAAAACATCAAAGGTCAGGTCTCACCAGAAGGTAAGGTGATTTTCCACTTGCAAATTACGTCATCTAAGTTACATGCAAGCAATGGAATTCAACTGACTGGTAAAACTGACTGTAACTTGGATCAAAATCTATTGGCACATTTGCAGGGATAAAAAATATTTACTTGGAACGGCACAGTTTGGAGAATGACTTAAGCATTGACTCAATTAGCAGTTTAACGCAGCTGGAAAGAATTACTTTTCTAAATAAATAAGCCAATACGGCAATATCCAGTGATCTGCTTTAATCGTTACAATGCACGGCAGGGTGATATTTAAGCATGTGTCAAGATTATTTCCAGGCGAGCTAGTAGTGATGGGGTAGACAAACCTATTGATTGGCCCGTGCGGGAAAAATATCCATCAACCTGTTTGTATATAAGACGTGTTTGTATAAATGTCCTTTTTGGTAAGATGCCTTCAGAAAATACGACTCTCATAGCGGATTGGACGCCATCGACTCACGAAGAGGAAACGCGCCCTGAATAAGCACAGTTGTGATACCTGTGCCCAGAAAAGCATATCCTTGCAGGGGCATGAAGACTAAGGTGGAAAAGAAAAGCACCAAACCTATAAGCAAATTTGTTTGCAAGTGATTTTTAAAAATAGTAAAGCTGTTTTTACGCCTAAATGTATTCTTCTATGTCAAATTTGCAATTCATACGAACTGCGAATTAATTTGCATGCTTAAATACGCGGCTATCACTTCAAAAGTGAATACGCTCAAATTACAATGGTGTAATTATCCATAATTTAAGCATTTCTAAGCTGAAATGAGTATGCTGTTGCGCGAAAACCACTCATTCTTATAACTTGAATGTTAAAGTTTGACATTTCCTTTATGAAAATACTTTAATTATTTGCAATGATATGTTAAAAGGCCGATGGAGTAGCATCATTCAAGAAATGTTTATTTAACATAAATATTATAAGAATTTTCCTTTATGCTTAAATAAACTCTTCATACTACTAGATTAACAAGCCCTTGGAAGTGAATACAGAGAGATGAAGAGAAAATTTGTATACAACTTTGGACCCCTTTTGTAGCAAAATACCCATTCTCGTTAAAGATGTCCATCAAGTTACTTTGTTAATAAAAGCTGACAATGATCGCTTTTCGGTAAGTAAATTTTTAGGATAAAAGTATATTATTTGATGGTATTAAGGACTGGGAAATTCCCTTAATTTTGTACGATTTCCTAACTCATTTGAAGCCTAATAAAAGGATTTGTAAAGGAATAGCACGAAATGAATAAGCTGAGGTTGGTCATTTGCGATAATCTGCTTCTGAGTCATTGAATGCCTAAGGTAAGACGTCTAAAATAAGCAGGACCACAAAATGTAGATGCAGTAAGCACTGGCAAGTGTGGCAAACCGTTTCCACTGATTTGGTTACCTCTAGGCTTAAATTTACCGAAGAGTTTTTACATACATATGTAGACCTAAGGCAATTCTTTGGCAATTTTGATCTCCACAAGCACTCATCGCTACATTTAGGCATAAACGACTCAATGTTCCATTTTATTAAATAGTTTATGTAATTTTAGCATAAAGCAGATAGTGATGAAACCTTAGCCATCTTTTGGGATCTATTTCAATTTCTGGTCACGGATAGATTTGAGTAAGTCTGCTTTCAGAGTTGGGTACAGACATATTTAGCCATTAAAAAGAGTAATGTCCCATCTTTTACTTTAAAGGTTATTTAAAAGTCTTTACAAAGCATAAGTGTGATGAAATGGACCTACTTAAATTGTAATATGATGAAATGCCAAGGCCGAAAACCTGGTTCAACGCGTAAATGCATACCTCATTAAGCACACTTTGGATAGAAAAAGCAGCAACATATTTTTAGCACTGAGTATACCGTCAGAGGCATGACTAAACAAGGTGCACCAAATACCTTTATATTTTCATAAAACGTTGGCGGATGAAAGCATGCGTGACATTATTTATTTAACACATTAAATTCTTCGAAATTAGCATGCCTGTCGAAGCAGAGACGGAGACCTTGTTTTATAAGCATTAACTTATCAAACCACATAGAGCATGAAATCGTCCTTCTCTAATCGGCTATTTAACAGGAGTCCAAGCTGATTATTGAATTGAGAAAGTATCTTTGATAAATACATGTTAAGTAAAGTAAGTAAAGTAATGACATAATAGAAATTGGATAGCTAATGTCATTAATGCACTCTAAAAGATATCGCTGTTAGTAAAAGAAATTCTCACTGAAATTTGGTGGCCGATAGTCGTTGTGCACAAAATTGTCGGTACTTCTAAAATATCATCAAAAGCATTCCACTCTTTCTGAAATGCTGAATTCAAGAAAAAAATTGGAAAATATCCCAACTCAGCGACGTATTACAAATCCATCGTAGCTAATTCAGCCATCTTTTGTTGTGTTAAGAGATGCATAAATCTTTGACGGTATTGCATAATGAACTGGTCCTAGCAATACAAAACTAACTCCTCCTGAATAAGACTGTCTAGTAGTTGACTCATTTCTTTTAGTAAAGTTTGAAACACATTTTAAGTTCAAAATTGCGATGCTGGGTCATTAAATTTGTTAGGCAGCATTTTAGTCGTTCAATAAAACTTAATAAAGTTGAATTTGTGATTGTTTGTGATGACTGAGAAGGTTTATTTCTCCAAAGCATACTTATTAACTAACTTTAATAAAAAACAAAGTGTCTGAGGAAGTGAATGAAGACTAAACATTAAAATTACTTTAGGCTTTTCGTATTTACTTATGTGCCTCCGTTTCCACTCCAAATATTTATGGTTTGGTTGCCTTAGCAACATTTTTTTCAAAAGTGAGCAGAAAAAGAGGCTCAAAATTATTATGCCTGGTTGTTAACACTTATGGGTTTCTTTAAATGCTGTTCGGAGAGTTTATAAAGCCATTTTGAGAAACCCTTTACCAACTAAAATACCATTTCTTGTTTGTGCAACAAGTAAGCACTTACTTCTTCACTAGATGTTATCACGATACATCTTATGCTTGGCATAAAACCCGAAGATTTTTATCTTTGTTTCATCCTCCGTGAGTCAATCATCATGCTATATTTAGTCTGTTCCTGCTATTAATCATTTACGCCTTTAGCCTTTTCTACTCTTCACTAAATATTATTAAAAAGATGATTTCCTCGATGTTGTAATATAACTGCCCAAAACCTTATTCTACTTCTTTTACTTTGTCGCATATTTTATAAATAAAAACTGATGGAATGTTCTATAGTGTCAACAAAATTTGGCACAGAAGTGCGGAAATGCAATTGACTGTTTAAGCTGCGGCTGAATAAGCGCCAAATTATTAAGAAATGAGTACCTACAACCAAATATTTCCCATAAGAAGGAAAACAACTGATGATAAAATTACTACCGTATTAAAACGATTTGGGACAGAGACGGGAATAAATTCACGCTAACAAATTTTTGCCTTACTCCTGAGCAAATTAACACATTTTACTTTCTACAACATTATAATACTGAGCTCCAAAACAAAATTACTGACTTTATTACATTTGGTTAAATAGCCATCCAGAAAGAAACCGGTTTATTCATTTTATCTTTGAAAAGGCTTACCACCTTTTTTAGATAATTTGAACAGCCTAATTCCTCTCTAAAGCAAATGAGAGGATCGAAAAATCATATATGACTTAAACGTATTCTTTATAGCCTTTTCGGTGAGAACTAACTAAACATTCACAGATCTCTTCTGGGAAAGCGGTTAACGAATCAACACGAAATTTTCAGGAAGAATAGAGGAGAGGGATGCAGTAATTATTTTCTAGGTATTACATAAGCACCTATATCACTAAAATGGTCAAACTTAGCAAAAGTTGATTATTTTTCAAAAGCTCACAAAGTAAAATGATTTTCATCTCAAAAGGGTTCTTTTCAACGAATGTGTATCCATCGGCCATTACGATAGGACCACCTTAGATGGATGGAACCCTCTGCCATCCTGAGTACCAACCAAGGGGTGAGATTTAATTGAATCAGTCTTTTTTTCTTTGGGTTTTTGTTCCAAAAATCACAAAATTTTACATCGTTACTTTAACATTATCATAAAGGCCTTTTGGCAAATCGGGTCTTCTGCGTCTTTCTTTAGTTGCTACTACGGCCGCACTGTAGGCAACAGTAAGCGATATCTCAGTTCTATTACTGGCAGTTAGCACATATATAGCCGATTTCAGACACCGTTAACCAAGGCGACAGGAAATCTTAGGAGTGTTTGCATGGGTAAAGTAATGTGTGATTTCTTCTGGACGAAGTCATAAAATCTGAATGCACAGATATCTACAAGTATATACAGTAGACTTCAAGCCGAGTAAGGTCAAAAGGTAAAATGGTCAGATGTTAAAAATCGGTGGGAAAGTTAAAATATTTAAATTTGTCAAAGGCAATCGCATGTGTGAAGGTGAAGATCCCGGCAACAGTAGTTTATAGCTAGAAATATTGTAAAGGAGAAAAACTTTTTACTCAGAAGGTAAATAGGATCTTTTGCGACCTTTTGTTTTCTTAAAGTGCTTAGCCACACCTCTCCGCCCTTGACCATTGCGAAGTTAAAGAAGGATTTTCGACATAGAGGGCAGCATCACCCACTTTATCGAGGAACCAGATACATATTATATCTTTACGAAACCAAAACAGACCTAATAGCAGTTGTGTGGTAGGCGGATTTCCCATCTGCGATGATGTAAAGCGATTTGATCCAAAGCAGTTTAGCAGAACCAACAAGTCTTTCTGCGTTCAACCCAGTTCCCAGATACTGGGAACACACTAGAGTAGGTACGGAAATAAGGTTAAGCAAAGCAAAGTTAATCCAGCCGCGATTTCTCAAAATTTACTTAAAAATATTCTATATTCTAAAGGTCCGAGACGAGGTTAACACTACCAAATATCCATTAAAAATGTTAATACGCCACTAACATTTTAAGATGCGGTAAAATTCGTTGTTTATTTTGACACCAAATCCGAAATAAAGTTGAGGAGGGTATAAACTTACTTGTTTAAATAATGTTAACTTGCAGATTTTATTCGAACAACTCAGTTTTGGATGTGCTTAATCACAAATTAATCCTTTCTTTCGTCTATAAGCCCACTTCAGATCCCAAATAAGAGTGAGAAGATGAGAGGAAATAATTAAGGCCTTGTTAATAATTCATCTGTAGTCGTGAATTCACCGTCTTATAATGTGTACATCTGCTTGTAGGTGAGTTGGTTTGTATCTTGAGTGGAGCTAAAGGGAGGAGGAAAAGGGTCGAGTATGAGATCAAATGGACAGAATAGGTCACATGGGAGGGAGAGGGAGAGGCGCGTTTCGTTGTTGCATTCCCTGCTATGCATGAGATAATCAGTAAGTGGGTTGCGCTACAATGATTAGGCGCCCTCATTTGACTTTTTTCTCGGTATTGG